CCACATGACATAACCGTAGCCTTTTCAGACCCGGGGGTATGGGCGCTGGGTCGTGCAAACAGTTGACAAAGCCGGGAGCCACAGGTAAAGAGAGGGCATATCAACATTTTCCAGGGCTTATCCTATCCTATCTCCCCTAGAATTGGGATTTTGGCAGCAAACACTTCCAACACAGGGTTAGTTTTTTTGGGGCCCACCACCCCCCCCCCCCACTCCCTCCTAGGAGGACCCTGAAATTGGGCGAAAATTCTTTCTTGGCCTGTCCAGTCAGCATGGCCGGCTGCGAGGGTTTGGGCTTCAGATTAGGTATGGCTCGTGGTATGGAGCGAGCTGATTCCATTTGATTGTCGTGCCCGCCACGGCCCCCCCGTCGTGGTAGTCAACTTGCGGGGGCCAATGATCAGCTGGGTTGATTTCAGGAGGCGTTCAGATGTTCAGGTGTTCATGAGCAATGTGGTAGTGGTGGTGGTGGACACAGCCCAAAAAAAAAAAAAAAAAAAAAAAAAAAAGGGAAAGGAAAAACACAGAGACGGATTAACAGCAACCGACATCATCCTCCATACACACCCACATACGCGGTATACTCAGCCCCGTAACAATCAATAAGCTAGTAGCACCAAATGATTTCGCTAACTCTCAATAGGCGCAGCCCTCTGGAGGAGAATGAAGCGAGCCGTTGGAAATTACCAATATACTCTCCACATACATACAAATACGGGGGGGAACAAATTCAATCGAGGAATCCCCGTGCCCACCAACGACAGCCCCCTTCAAGGAATAAATAAGAAAATAATAAACCTCCAGGAACTTACCATGTTACTGTGCTAGTTATGTGTTGCCCCCCAATGTTGCAGTCTACCCAAGGTGCCATACCCACTACTTGTAAGAGTGGTTGTGAGGTGACGGTGTGACAGACAAACCAAATGCCCTTTCTTGACTTCACTGCTTAACTCCTCACGTATGTGTGTAAGTAAGACTATGCAAAATAGTTTGACTATTTACTCGTAGCTGACCAGTTTCACCAGCCTGCTTTCCATCTGTCGATTTATTATTATTATATTTGCGTTACTCTGTAGTTAATAAGTTTGAGATGTGGGAATGAATTGATATGTCTCTAGGTCAAGTTATTCTACCATATATATATATATATATATATATGAGATAGGACGCAGGCCGCCCTTTAACTAGTTAAGAAGTTCTTCGGTAAAAACAACACCACAATGCACAGTACATGTACTGTACAACTGCTGATTTACTTCTCTCCATGACACAAACAGAATTAACCTAAACCAGTGTGGGCCTCCTCTTTTTTTCCGGTTGTTGTCCCTCCTTGATGAGTGTTAGTAGCTTTTGCTGCTCAGTTGATAATTTTTACATCAATAGCACAAGCGAGTTCTGATTCAGAAGTGAACTAGTTTGCAGAATCATCATCATCATCATCATCATGACTATGAACATATCTTTTGTTGCATGGAGGCGAGCAAATTATTATTTATTGTTATTATTGTTATTGTTGTTGCTGTTGTTATTACTAGATACTAGTCTCCCAATGCATCTTGCATATGTAGAGAATTCTGTTATTCTGCATGCCCAAATTCATATATAAGGAGAGCGCGCAGCAACTCAGCCTTGTGGCGGTATATTACAGGCTGGGAAAGAATCATACTTCCCAAAGAGTCAGTTGGTATATCAATTCATTCACTGATCTGACGGGGAAAAAGGGGCGGTGTTGAATTTTTCATAATTTTTCACTATTGAGAAATACTCGAACATGTTCTTGCTTGGAATGCTGGTTCCGATTCCAAATTCCGATCCTAATTCGGGCTTGACATGCCTCAACTTCTTGAATGGATAGGAGTTCTAAATGTGACTGCCGCTGTTAAAAATGGGGTTCAGTTCTATTGTGTATGCGAGCGAGTATACAAGTATGCAAGTATGCCAGACCGGCATGTAGGTGCTTTCCCGCCGGAGGTTAGGAGGAATATAGATTATTTGTAGATAAAGAAGGAAGACCCAGCTAGTTTTTGAATAAAAACCAGAGGGAATTCGTTGTTGTCCGGGGCATGGGGCTCGAACGGAGAGCCTTTGGATTTTGTTGTCTGTGCTCTAGTCATTGAATGACTGTAGGTACAGCAATGCATTCATTCGTAATCCCTCCCTCTATTCGGCCCAAAAGAAGACCAAATTTAAGGACCTCACACAAAGGAGCGAGCTGATGACTGCTGAAACAAAAAATATTGAAACAAAAACGAGAGAGAGATAATATCACTGTTGGTCATCAGTTGGAAACGAAAGGTAACTAAATACTTAACTATCCAGTAAACAGCTTAAACAACTTCAACATGTAAGTTAGTTAGCGTGAACAGATTCGTTGGTTCGTAACTTAACGACTCATTGGTGCTAATGACGCCATGTCCTGCATGAAATCATCAGCGAACCAGAACAAAAGGTTCGAACCAACTCACAGACAAAGCATGCAGGCAGGTAAAGGCCTCTTGACCAAGGGACTTGGCGGGGGAGCTGTCGGAGTCAAAAGTTTAGTGAGGGAGGAGAGCATAAAAAGGAAAAAGAAACTAGCTCTTTTTCGGTGAGTCTTGTCGAAACAACTTGGCTCGGAGGATTTTTCTTTTCATTTTGTTTTTTGTTTCTAGCATTGCTTTACTTGAAAACGACCCGCTCCAAGACATACCACGGCATTGAGAGAACGAATGCGCCGTCTGGGAAGAGAAGACGGTTAACAAGACAAATAGGAGGAGTCAATTGGATGCAGAATGCGAGGACGGGAGCGGGCGGACTTTGGAATGCGCATGTGCGTCCCGCATAGGCAGTTTGAATTATTTATTATTATTCAAAGCATGATAATACACCCACGATGGGGACGCATGATCCGGAACGGGTATTGGTCATGAAAGCTGCAGCGAGAAGTATGTAGCTGCTTTTGGGATCGGGTAACAGTCGTAGCTTTTGTTTGAGGTGTACGCAGCAGAGAAGATGGGACGGAGATATAAATCAAAGGACCCGTCCATCCAGGGAAGGTCCTCGTCGTCAAAGCAACCTGCATCCCACTGTCCGCAAGGTACTGTGCATGTACTGCACATACATGTAGCTGTAGCTGTGGGTATCTCAGGGTATCTCAGGGTATCCGGGTATCAAGTTAGGTAGAGAGCTACAGCTATGCTGCTGCTGGAAACAAGAAAAAGCTCCAATGGAATGGTAGCAAAAAAAATTGTCGCAAACTCTTTTTCCCCTCCTT